CCTCTCTCTCTATCTTTCTATCTCTCTATCTCTCTCTGTCTCACTCTCTCTCTCTATCTCTATCTCTCTCTCTCTATCTCTCTCTCTCACTACCTCATTATTAGTAAATACTATTAATGGTCAATTTGACGTAATATTAATACAAAAATTATTCTTTTTGTTTCACCACAAGATTGCTAGAGGGGAGCCTTTGATTGTGGCAGTGCTTTGCACATTCTCTCTTCTTCTGTGAGTGCGCTGAAAGCTTTAACAGATAGTCTGACGTTGTATAATCTCAAAGCGTTGATAAAGAGTGGGGTTAGTTTGAAGTATTCATAAGATATGCTCTTTCACCTTCAAAAATTGATAAAGTAAATTGTCAGTGCGGCATTATGCAAATTATCTATGTGGTGTCAAGGGAAGAACTGGACACGACACAGTTTAGTCAGCTTAGTAGTTATACCTATTTTGCGGCACTTGCAATACCGTAAAGTCATATACGGGCCGAAGATTAGAGGTGTTACAAGAGAGTAACAAACATTAAGAATTTGGGGGGGAAAGATAAAGACGATAGACGCTTGATGGAAAAGAAGGAGCAAACTAAACCAGAGCACCCGCCAACCAACCAAGTTGTGTCTCTAGAAGCTATCTTATCTATCTAATGCTAAAGATACCCATTATAATAATATTGTTGTATAGTTGGAGTCAAATGAAAAGCAAACGGTGAGCAGCAGGGTTTGCAGATATTGTTAACAACAAAAGTTCACTTTCACTCTGAAAATTCAGTTTCGGTTTTCCAAGACCACCGAGTCTTTTTAGTTTTAGTAAGTGTTTTACGGCACTTGCAACACATTAAGGCCATATAAATGTCGAAGAATAGAGGTGTTACAAGAGGGTAACAAATACAAGAAAGGAGGAAGAGAGATAATGACGATAGATGTTTGATAGGAAAGAAGGAGCAAATCACACCACAGCATCCGCCAACTACCGTCCCACCGAGTCTAACATGTGTGATTTTTCCACGGAACCTTAAAAAAATAATAATATACAAAACAGGTGGCATACGTATTATCTTTTATTTATAATATCAAGCTGTTTTGGGAATAGGCTACCTTTTTCGACGTTCATACCCATGCACTTAGGAGAGTCAAGAGCTCTAACAGCAGTTCTGGATTTTCATCTCTTGTTTGTTTTTGTAAAGTTTTTTTACGGCGCTCGCAACTGCATAGGTCATATGAGCGCGCGGGACAC